CGAGTGTCGCTTTGGCCAGGATGTATGCTACTACTGTCACGAGCCCGGACACTTCGCGAATCGTTGTCCGAAGAAGGCGCAGCAGCCTCAGCAGCCTCAGCAGTCACCGCAGCAGCAGCAGCCACGTCAGCAGGCACAGAGGCCGCCTCAGCAGCAGCAGCAAAGGGGCAGACAGCAGGCCTGAGTCTATGCAGTTGATCGGGCAGAGGCCGAGCAGCAGCCAGGTACTATGTCAGGGATGGTTATGCTTAATAATGTTCCTGTGTTTGCTTTATTCGATACCAGAGCGACACATTTTTTCATTTCACGACGATGTCTTGATGCCATCGGAGTTTATGCCGTTACCACTGTCGATCCTCTTGAGGTGAGTTTAGCCTCGGAACGAAAGATAGTGACCTCAACTAAAGCTTCAGATCTTAGCCTTTCCATCGGTGGTCGTTCATTGTCTGCCGACGCGTATGTTCTTGAGATGAGGGACTTCGACCTCATTCTCGGGATGGATTGGCTATCCTTTTATCATGCAGATATCAGATGTCATGATTGGGAGATTACTCTTTACCTTCTGGGAGACGAGTCAATTACTTTCTTTGGCAGCAAGAATCGTTCATTACCCCCAGGTCGTTTCGATGACGAAAGCCACTAAGTTGCTGCGACGAGGCAACTGCCAGGGTTATCTAGTGAGCCTTGTCGACGATTTTAAGAAAGTACGATCACCTCACGATGTTCTAGTTGTTCGTAAGTTTGTGGACGTGTTCCCAGACGAGCTTCCAGGAGGACCGCCTAACCGGCAGGTGGAGTTCTCTATCGATCTCATTCCAGGAGCCGGTCCAGTATCCAAAGCCCCGTGCCGTATGGCGCCAAAGGAGTTGCAGGAGCTTAAAGCACAAATTCAGGAGCTGTTACGACTCGGTTTCATTCGACCGAGCTTGTCACTTTGGGGAGCACCCGTTCTCTTTGTTAAGAAGAAGGACGGATCCATGCGCATGTGTATCGACTACCGAGATTTGAACCGGTTGACGATCAAGAACAAGTATCCACTTCCCAGGATCGACGACTTATTTGATCAGTTGAGGGGAGCCTGTGTGTTTTCAAAGATTGATTTATGATCAGGCTACCACCAGCTGAAGATTAAGGAGTTAGATATCGCTAAGACCGCTTTCAGGACTCGTTACGGTCATGACGAGTTCGTTGTCATGCCATTCGGTCTCAGCAATGCTCCAGCAGTTTTCATGGACCTCATGAACCGTATTTTCCATCCCTACCTCGATCATTTCGTTATTGTCTTTATTGACGATATTCTTATCTACTCGAAGAGCCAGAAAGAGCACGAGGAGCATCTGAGGGTGGTTCTCGAAACCCTCAGACGAGAAAAGTTGTTTGCAAAATTCTCCAAATGCGAGTTCTGGCTCCAGCGAGTAGCCTTTCTGGGTCATGTTATTACTCAGGCAGGTATCGAGGTGGATCCTTCCAAGGTCTCAGCTGTTCAGAACTGGTCAACACCGAGGAGTCCGTTCGAGGTTCGCAGTTTTCTCAGTTTAGCTGGCTACTATCGCAGGTTTATCGAGGGCTTTTCCAAGTTTGCCCTCCCTCTATCCCAGCTGACGAGGAAGTCTGTGAGGTTCGAGTGGATTGACCGATGTGAGTCGAGCTTTCAGGAACTCAAGAGGAGATTAACTTCAGCACCGGTGTTGACTATTCCCGATCCTTCTTGGAGTTTCACCATTTTCAGCGATGCTTCGAGACAGGGTTTGGGATGCGTCCTTATGCAGGATGGCCAGGTCGTTGCGTATGCTTCACGTCAGATTAAGCCACATGAGCAGAACTATCCGACGCACGACTTGGAGTTAGCAGCAGTCGTTCATGCCCTTAAGATTTGGCGACATTATCTTTACGGAGGTCATTGTGAGATTTTCACAGATCATATGAGCTTGCAGTATATTTTTACTCAGAAGGAGCTCAACATGAGACAGCACCGTTGGCTCGAGCTCGTCAAGGATTATGATTGCTCGATTCAGTATCATCCGGGAAAGGCGAACGTCGTAGCGGATGCCCTAAGCCGGAAGGTAAGGGGTGACTTGACGTACGTCGTTACTCAGCAGAGTCCGTTGATTCAGGAGTTTGCCCGGATGCAGCTTCAGGCGATCGATGCACTTCCCACACCAATTTCGGGAAGTGTCAGTGCCAGTGTCAGTGCCATGCAGCTTCATCCGACGCTGAGAGAGAGAATCCGACGAGAGCAGGCTTCTGATGAGTTCGTTCGTGTCATGGATGCCAAGGTTCGCGCCGGAGGCGTCGAGGGACTTCAGCTAGGTGTCGATGGTGCCCTAGAGTTCAGAGGCAGGATCGTGGTCCCGAAAGTCGAGGCGTTGCGGAAGGAGATATTATCAGAGGCTCATACCGCACCCTATCTAGCCCATCCCGGGAGCACGAAGATGTATCACGACCTGAAAGGGTCGTTCTGGTGGCGAGGAATGAAGAAGGACGTCGCCGAGTTCGTCAGGAGATGTTTTACCTGTCAGCAAGTCAAGGCCGAACATCAGAGTCCGATCAGCCTCCTACAGCCACTGCCAATTCCGAGGTGGAAGTGGGAGGAAGTCACGATGGATTTCGTTACGGGATTACCGAGGTCGTCTGAACATCACGATGCTGTCGGGGTCGTGGTCGACAGATTGACTAAAGTCGCTCATTTCCTACCCGTTTCGATGAAGATGTCTTTAGATAAGTTGGCTGAGATATATACCCGTGGGATCATCCGACTCCACGGAGTGCCCGTTACTATTGTATCAGACAGAGATCCCAGATTCATCAGTAGATTCTGGCACAGTTTACACGAGGCGATGGGCACGAAGCTTGAGTTCAGTTCAGCCTACCATCCAGAGACAGACGGTCAGTCAGAGCGGACTATTCAGACGCTTGAGGATATGCTTCGCGCTTTGGTTGTTGACAGGGGTGCTAAGTGGGAGTCGTTGTTGCCGTACACTGAGTTCGCGTATAACAACAGCTATCATTCTTCTATTCAGATGGCTCCTTACGAGGCACTTTACGGTCGCAAGTGTCGTTCCCCTCTTTATTGGGACGACGTCGGAGAGCGATGAGTACTCGGTCCCAAGTTGATCGAGGAGACAGAAGATCAGGTCGATTTGATCCGACAGAGACTCAAGACAGCTCAGAGTCGACAGAAATCTTCAGCCGATCATCATCGACGAGACATTCAGTTCGAGGTTGGTGAGCCAGCTTTTCTTAGAGTTCGTCCGATTCGCAGAGTCGTGCGATTCGGAAAGAGAGGGAAGTTGCACCATCGATTCATTAGCCCGTTCGAGGTTCTCGAGCGAGTAGGCGAGGTCGCGTATCAATTAGCCCTACCTCCCAAGTTATCAGGTATTCATAATGTATTCCACGCATCTATGTTGCGTAAGTACGTGTGCGACCCCGATCATGTCATTCCTCATTCAAATATTCAGGTTCAGCCAGATCTTTCGTACGAGGAGCGACCGGTAGCTGTACTAGACCGTCAGGTTTGTCGGCTCCGGAAGTGAGATATCCCCCTCGTGCGCATTCAGTGGGATCGCCACGGAGCTACTTGGGAGGAGGAGTCCGATATTCGCGCTCGTTTTCCAGATTTTCAGTTTTGATGTACATATTTTCTTGTTCTA